ACCTCTCTATGTGGGGAGCCTTATAGCTACTGTGCTGGTGGCCAAGGGGGAGCTCTGAGGGGTGGGCCTTGTCCTTGGAAGTCTGGTTCTTCTACCCAAGGAAGTCTGTTCTGAAACCTCAGAGGACTCTAGCTGAGGTATCTCTTGGCCTCCTCGGCCTCACCGACTTCTTGTAGCCAAACCTCCGGATTCAGGCTCCCCTGGCTGGAGAGGGGCCCACACTGGCATAATGGTCTCTTTTCTGGAGACTGGAGGCTGAAGGAAGCCTGGGGGTCAGCTGTTCCTGACCTTACCCCAGCAGCCTCCGGGCTCCCGGGCATTGGGAAGCTCTGCCTGTTCTCTCCTCTGCCATTTCTGGGCTGGGTGCTGGAAAGTGCATTCTGGAGAGGAAGACTGGCTGGGTACCTGGAAACCTGTACTGCTTAGATGTGGAGCTGGCAGGAAAGGGAAGACTTGAAGGAGGACCCAGGCCTCCTGTGCAGGCCCCAGCAACAGAGCTACATCTAGACCTGTTCCAAAATATGTCCTTCTGGCCTGCTACCGCTGACTGACTCCTTGACGGTTCAGGGTGGTGCTCTGGAAGGCCTGGCACATATGCCCATAATACTGGGTGGGTCATACCCCCTACCAAGGATGCTCACCCCCCTCGGGACCACTCCCCAAGCCTAGGGCACCACCTGAGAGGATGGGACCCCGGATACACCAACTTTGATCCGGCACTTGAACCAGAGCAAACTTCAAACCTAAAAGAACTTAACCCCAATATTATATTCTTAAGTCTTGAAACTAATGAATATTTAAAATTTAAAACAGTCAGTGAATTTACCTAAGTTGTTCTAAAATTATTAAAGAAGCATAAAATTGGAATATCAACATATGCTCCAAATGAGAAATGCTGTTAAGTCCCAGGAGGGAAGGAACGGCTGGGCTGGGGCCCTGGCAAGAGTCTTCCAAAGAGGGGGTGCCAAGAAAGGAAGCTCAAGTGGGAGGGAGGGGAAGCTGCGCCTCCCCAGGGTGGGGTGCCTCTGAGGCCAGTCGTAGGTGGTTTGGTGGACTGGAAGCTCCAGGGTGAGCCTCTTCTTGTGACCAGAGCTTTTTCTCTGTCCCCAGATCCCCATACCGAGTGTGCCTACGTTCCAGCCGTCTACACCTGTCCCTGAGCGCCTGGAAGCTGTGCAGCGCTACATCAGGGAGCTGCAGTATCCTCTCTGGTCAAGGGTCATGGCCACCTTCTGGCCGTTGTGGTGGGCATTTCCAGACAGAGCCGAAGAGGTATCAGCAGAGCCACTCATTCCACAATGCCAGGGCTGCCATTCACATGGCATCTCTGTGGTCCCTGCTGCTGTGGGACATGTCCCATGTCCCTCCTGGATGTCGGAGGAATTTTGTCTGATGAGTGCAGGGCCCACTCCGCACTCTCTTGCCACTCACCTCTCGCTCCTGCCATATGACGGGGTAAAGAGAGGGAAATGGGTCCCGAGTGACTTGCTGGTGGGGTGGCCAAGTCTAGATAGATCTCCTGCTCTGTTGTCCACCCAGCCCTAGCAGAGAGGGAGAGAGGGAGCTGCCTTGGGGCTTTTGAAAGTCTGGTTTTGAATAAAGAGGAAAATGGCGGAGAAAAAGGATTTTAGGCTCCAGGAGGTAACTTCGGAATCCTAGAATTTTCTCCTGGTTCTTCTCCTTTTTCTTCCCTGGCAGGAGGCCAGCAGGGGAAGAGCTGGGCTCCCCTGGGTCCAGATTCCCCTGTGTCCCTGCTCTGGGCCCTCCAGCCCCTGCACCCTGCCCCCGAGCTGTGTGTTCTGGGTCCTGTCTCCCAGGCTTCTGGCTGCAGAGATCAGAGATAGGAGAGCTAGGCATGGATCCTGGGTTGGGGGAAGCCAGGCCAATGACTGCAAATCGGGTCCCACTCCTCACTATGCCAGTGGGGAAACTGGTCCAGTGAGGCAGGTGGCTGGCTCAGGAGCAATTAAAGGCGGAGTTAGATCCCCTACCCTAGCCTCCTCTCAGTTCCTGTGACTTCTCAGCTGGTTGGAAGATGAAGTGCTGCAGGGAGCTGTTCCCAGCCACAGCCTCTTTCTGGCCCTCACCAGACCGGCCGCCTGCTCCGTGTCTCTTGTCCTAAGAAGGGAAGCCAGGGGAGAACAAGGGAGAAAGCCAGGGGAAAACAAGGGAGAAAGCCAAGGAGGGTGAGGGAGAGGGAAAGAGAAGGGGGCGTGAGGTGGGGAGAAGCATTCATGCTGTGCCCCCATGTCCCCTCCAGAAGACTTGGCTCTTGAGCTTGGGGATAGGCAGGGAGAGAGGGTCAACCTCCTTCAGGCCAAGCTAGGAAGCCCTTAACCCACGCCCGCAGGTACAATCACACAGGGACACAGTTCTTTGAAATTAAGAAGAGCAGACCTCTGACAGGGTAAGTGTGGGGAGGCCAGTCCTCTGCCCCAGGGCTGGCTTGGAGCCTCTTGAAAGCCCTGTAGTGAGCCTTGGAGTGGAAGTTTATGGGGCAGTCAGGGACTCTCTGGAAGGAAGCCAGCCTTTGGGGGCAGGTGCCACCGTGGGGCCTTAAGGATGTCATAAAGAGGAAATGAACAGCTAGGGCTGCCTTGATGAAAAGGAAATCCCAGGTCCATGCTGAGCTAGAGAGTGGGAGAGAGCCCGCCCCCAGCTCTTGCCTTGGCCAGGAGAGAGGGTGGTCCTAGGTGGACTGTAGGTGAGCCTCAGATCTTTTGTTTTTTAGTGAGAGGTGGACCTTGCAGGAGAGAGCCCTCCCCCTTCTCTGTTCTGCAGCTGCTGCACTCCCCATTGCTGGTCCCCCTTGCTGGTCCCCACTGCACGGTACTTGCATGGTCACCCCATTTGCCTTACTCCCTGGACTCTTTTCTGGGCATTGAGTAGAAGGCCCAGGGTCTGAGAACAGGGAGCTCCCTGGAGAGAATGTTGCATCTGTCACTTCCCATCCTGCCATCCTGTGCATAGCCCCCTGCCTGAATTCACTTCTCCACGAAAGTTTCTGCCCATGAAGCCCCAAGGGCAGAGGAGAGTGAAGAGTGAATGCCACAGCTGAGTCTAGGGGCTCAGCCCAAAGATGCCCACAGGCTTAAGACCCCTGGGCTTTAAAAATTCATGTGAATTGGCCAGGCACGGTGGCTCACACTTGTAATCCCAGCACTTTGGGAGGCCAAGGCAGGCAGATCACGAGGTCGGGAGTTTGAGACCAGCCTGGCCAACATGGTGAAACCCCTTCTCTACTGAAAATACAAAAATTAGCTGGGCATGGTGGCGGGCACCTGTAATCCCAGCTACTTGGGAGGCTGAGGCAGGAGAAACGTTTGAACCCAAGAGGCAGAGGTTGCCATGAGCCGAGATCATGCCACCGCACTCCAGCATGGGTGACAGGGGAGACTCTGTCTCAAAAAAAAAAAAAAAAAAATTTAATGTGAATTTTACATCTTGCCCCACATATAATCTGTGTTTGCTTCTTTGTGAAAATGTATTCAAATGGCTTATTAGCAAAATTACTTAATTACGCCTTCTCCAAGGCCCTGGGTGGAGTCCACCCTCCCTATCCCCAAAGCTTTGCTCTTGTTGGCCAGTGGCTGCTGTGTGCTGGGGGCCCACTCCAGCCTTACTTGGCATAGAGGAGTCCAGGTGCCCTCACGAGCAAAGCCAGTGGCCAGGCTGAATCCCCAGGCTGGGGACAGAGGGAGGAACCAGGCCTCAGGGAAAGGCTGTCTTAAAATGGCCTGAATTCCAAGTTCAGGAGCAGATCCGGAAGTCAGCACACAACTATCTGCCTAAGATCCCACATCCAGGCCCAGGCAGCTGCGGGGAGGCAGTTACAGTCAATTAACAAGCTCTTGGGAGGAGCCATGGTTAGGTCAGGAGTGTCCACTGTGCTTCAGAAGGGAGGAGATCAATGCTGACGTCCCTCCTCCCCACACTACCTCGCTGAAGGCCCCAGCCTGGTAGCGGTCAAGGTCCTGCCCCCAACTTCTGCTGCCCTCCCCCGAAGCTCTTTGGAGCAAGAGCCAGGCGTGGGAAGTGGAAGTGAAAGGAGGGAAGAGGAGGGAGAGTGGACCTCCTTCCTGTCAGCAGTGGCCGCCTCTTTCCCACCCCCTCAGGCTCCAGGCTTCTGTTGGGAGTGTGGAGGGAGGTGCTGGGCCTGAGCTGAGAGCAGCTTAGGGGGCAGCCTCTGTCCTTCTAGCATTTCTAGTCCACCCTGCCACCGCCTTCTCACATTCCCCTGGAAGGGGCTGGAGGCGCTATCCTTACTGCCCTGCCTCCCTTTCCCACAGGCTGATGGACCTGGCCAAGGAAATGACCAAAGAGGCCCTGCCAATCAAATGCCTGGAAGCCGTGATCCTGGGAATGTATCCTTCCTCGCCTGGAGGGGAGGGGTCTGGGCTTCTCTGGGCCTCAGCTTCCTGCCCCGAAAGTGAGGGTGGGGGAGGTTGAATGGGCTCCAGGGCTCGCCCATATGCAGTCATTTGGTTGGCCCCAAGATGGAGAAGCCCCCCCTAAAGTGGAAGAGCCCCCCACAAAATGGAGGAGTCCCGGGGGCCCAGTACCCCACCTCTCAGTTGCTATCTTCCCAGGCTTACTGGGCAGCTCTTTTTTGAGTCACGTGGACACAGGGACCCTGTTTTCTGAACCCCAAATCAGGGCACAGTGTCTCACAAAGGCTGTTGTACCATTTCCGAGAACCATACAGTCTGGGAGGCACAGTTGGAATGCCCAGATGTTAGCATTTCCAGAACATGTTGATTTCTGGACGAGATATTAAAGCAAAACTGCCTTTAAAAAACCCCACAAGGTTTTCCAGTCACACCCCCGCCTCCAATCCAAAGGGCAGAAGTGGGGCCTGTAGCTGAGTCACCAGGGTAGCCGTGGAGACAGAGCAGCCACCAGGAGAGGCTACCCTCCCCAGCCCCACAGTAAGCAGCGGGAGAGGAGGAAGTGTTGATGGCTGGCTCTGCATCCTGACTGGTCAGTGCCTGAGCCCTACCTTTTCTTCTGTCATTTGATTATTAAAAATGTCATAAATACACGTGAAACATAGAACATCATGAACTCCTGTGCACCTGTTAGTCAGCTTCACCAACTCGAGGTCAATTCTGTTTCATCTCTTCCCACCCTGCCCATATTCTTTACCAGCTTTTTCAACATTTTGCCTGCACCCCTGGGGTAGGCAGCCCACTGGGCTCAGCACTGCAGAGGCACACAGATTAGGTGGGAGCCAAGAGGGTGAGAGGGAGGGGGCCTGATGGAACGGGAGTTCCTTCTGAGGACAGGTCCTGGGAAGACTGTGATCCAGGGGTCCATCCCCACGCCCTACAGACATGCCTGCCTGAAGTTCACACAAAGAGGCTGCGGGTGCCCTTTCCGCAGAGGTCCCGGAGGGAACTCCACTACGGCAGGCATTTGCTAACAGGGCAGGCCCATTTCAGGAGCCCGACAGCCTTGCCCTGTTTATAGGGTTCTTTGCTAGGATGAGCCTGCGGCCACCCAAGAACTTCAGGCTGCGGCCAATGCCGCCTTCATGTCTTCACGTTCACTTCTTCCTCAGGGGCCACACACCAAAGTGGAGGCTCCCACCCTCATAGGAGAGAGACTGGTCCCCTTCCCCAGGAGCACACACACAAGTCACTCCAGGCAGGGTCCTATGGTCTCGAAGCCTTTCAGGGGTCACCTGGTGGCTTGTGGGCAGGAAGAAAATGGGAACAGCCCCCATCTGGGTGAGGAGTTCCTTCTCAGTGTCCCCACAGCTCCCTCGGGCACATCGTGCTCAATGGTTCTCATGTCTTGTCCTCACTGCACTCTGAGCCTCTGCAGGGCAGGGCTGTGTGTTTCTCATCGCTGTATCCTTGGTCACTTACAAGGAGTCAGGCTCAGTAAGCATTGGTGGAATGACGGTAGCCCTGGAGGGACGGTGGCATAATGTCTCAGCACAGACTTTGAGGTCAGGCTGACCTGGACTTCAGTCGTGGCTGGGCCACTTACTCACCATGTGACCCCCAAGCAAGTTCCTTAACATCTCTGAGCCTGGGAGGCCTCTTCTGCAAAGAGGGATAGTGGCAGTGTGTAGAGTTGTTAGGACAATGGGCTGAGCCGGTGCCGTGAGACACAGCACAGCGCTGGACATGGTGTCTGCTGCATGCTTCTGTCCATTCATCTCCTTCTACCCATTTGTTCAAGAACTTTCATTGAGTAACTGTTGTGTGCCCGGCTTGATGCTGGGCCCCGAAGAACATGACAGACAAGGGCCCTGTGCTCTAGTGGAGGAGACAAAATAAGTAAGGAAAAAGAAGTGGTAACGCTGGTCGTGGTGAGTGCCGAGGAGGACGGTGGCGCAGGCTCAGTTTCAGGCCTGAGGGGGAGCCAGCTTTGGCGAGCAGGGGAAAGGCGGGTGTGAGAAACTCAGGTGGGAGGCCCCGGGGACTGGAGAGGTGAGCAGGTGGGGGAGAGGTGAGCAGGTGGGGCAGAGGTGTAGGAGGCGGGAGTGGGCTGGGGGTGGCTTAGAGGCACCTCCCGGGCCTCGGGAGTGCACGTGATTGTATTTGAAGGGCCAGAGGCAGGGGTGCATGTGGATATGGGGAGAGGACAGGGCGGGGGTAAGAGAAGGGTGACTGAACAGAACTGCCTGCATCTGTGAGGAAATCCACGTGTGAAGGAGAAACAAAACCCAGAGGCCGTGTCTGCGGCCTGTGTGTGTGCGGAGGTGGGGGATGGAGGACGAGGGAGTGGGGCAGGAGAGGCAAGGCCTCTCCTCCGACCTGGGGCCACCAGGCTCTGAAAAGCCCCTGCAGTGTGGCACCAGCCCTGCTTGAGTTTAGAGCGGTGGCCACAAATCCCTGGAAGTCCGGTGCCTATTCGAGGTTCCCTTTATTTTGAACTCCTGCTGGATACCAGGCTCAATGCTGGATGGCAGGAATACCGGGAGGAGACGTCAGGTGTGTGGAGATAAGCAGGGCGGGTGTCTGCACCCCAAGGCAGGCGGCGCCTGGACCCCGTGGCTCTCGGTCCCAGTCCCTCCCGCTGTGCTGGCCCGTGCTTCTCCCGGCTCTTTCCTTAGCGGGGCACCGGCCAGTTACCTCACCAACAGCATGCCCACCCTGGAGCGCTTCCCCATCAGCTTCAAGACCTACTTCTCAGGGAACTACTTCCGCCACATCGTGCTGGGGGTGAACTTCGCGGGCCGCTACGGCGCGCTGGGCATGAGCCGGCGCGAGGACCTGATGTACAAGCCGCCCGCCTTCCGCACGCTCAGCGAGCTCGTGCTGGACTTCGAGGCCGCCTATGGTCGCTGCTGGCACGTGCTCAAGAAGGTGAAGCTGGGCCAGAGCGTGTCGCACGACCCGCACAGCGTGGAGCAGATCGAGTGGAAGCACTCGGTGCTGGACGTGGAGCGCCTGGGCCGCGATGACTTCCGCAAGGAGCTGGAACGCCACGCCCGCGACATGCGGCTCAAGGTCGGCCCGCCTTCCACGCCCTCGCCCCCTCCCCTGCCCCAGCAGAGGCGATGTCGGATTGAGAGGACTGGGGAACTTCTCAGAGGACTGGGGTGCTGGGGCCTTGCTTAGTGGTCGATGTCGTCCAGGTGGTCCCCTGGGGAGGGCAGACCCGGACGGCTGCGGAGGGAGGAGGTGGGTGGGCTGGGTTTGGATGGTGGTAGGTGTTGGGCACATGGAGAAGGGGACTTTGCAGTCAAGGTCATTGGTGGGGAATCACCGCCTGTCTGGAGGGTGTGGTCGGGTGCTGTGATGGGCAGCCTCCCGGCTCCTCCTGTAAGGCATCCTGACTCTGCCCCCCAACCCTAGCAACCATTAAAGGACTAGGGGAAGCTCAGAAGAAAGGGAAGTCAGACCATGTGGAAGACAATGAGGGCGGTGTTCCTTCTTCCTTTTCCCATCCACACTTGAGCAGGAGGCGATGGGGAGTGGGCTGGGGGCTGTTGTATCCAAAACAGCTGGAATGAGCTGTTGAGCCCTAGAGCCTTTCAGCAGGCAGAATTCTGACCTCTGCCTCGGTTCTCCTGGAGCTGCCAGGGCCCCCTGCTGGGTATCCCCATAGCTCAGTCCCTGCTGCACTGTGACTGCGCCTCCAGGCAGCCTGGAGCCTCCTCCTCAACCACCGACCTCTGCACTGCCAAGTGCACTGCTTCTCTTGACAGCGGGTGGTAGGTGGTAGCTCCATTTTCAGGGTTGGAAGCTCAGAGTCTTGCTCACAGGCAGTGAGAGGCAGATCGGACTGGAGCTCAGCCTCCTGATGGGGAAGCCAGGTGTGTTGCAGGTGCCTGCAGGTGTCCTGGCAGGGATTTGTAAGAGCTACAGCTGCCCTAGCCATTGCCAGCCCTAGGCCGAGATCTCCTGGGGTGACAGGGCCTTCCCCTAGGGCAGAGGCAGGCTACAGCCAACCCTGCGTTAGAGAGCTGCTGCTCCCCACCTAGCTCTGGGTCCCCCAGCACCCTGGCTCTTGCTGCTCAGTTTGCTATGGTGTCTTCAAGGCATCAGATTGGATCTAGAGATGAGAGCCAATAGTTACCTAGTGTTCAGAGCTGCGATGGATTCCCAGTCTATTCAGTGCTAAACACTCCCCTGTTTCTTGCCCCTCTCCAGCGCTCCTGTGTTTTGAAAACTCAAGTCAAGCTGATGGTGCCACATAAAGGATGACTCCTTTGTTTTTCTCATTTTTTTCTTAAGCAGAGCTAGAGCTACCAGTCTGACTTCTCAATGGCGGGAAATAACCAGCATCACCCTTGGGGTGAGTGGGATCTCAGCCCTAAGTTCAGCATGGGCTGCTCCCACAACTGGCACATTTACCTGGCCTTTGTTGGGGACTTTTTGCAATATTATGGTATCTCAGTGACTTCCCCCACTTCCACTCTGCCCTCAAGGGCCCACAGGGATTGGACAGCCCCATGGAGAAACTCCTGCCCTGGCAGCTTTAGTGCCTGGGAAATAGGTTGGGAAAGATCCAGACAGGGCAGAGCCATGATTGAGGTTCCCTGGGCCTTCCCCAAGGCAGCCTCCAGGGACCTGTGGCTCCTGGAAGGGGAGGTTGGGCTCCAGGGCAGCCCTGGAGTGATGCTGTTGCTTCCTCCTGTGCACCTAGATTGGCAAAGGGACGGGCCCTCCCTCTCCTACCAAGGACCGGAAGAAGGATGTTTCTTCCCCGCAGCGGGCCCAGTCCAGCCCCCATCGCAGGAACAGCCGCAGCGAGAGACGGTGAGAGAGGGATCATGGCTGGGTGGGTCCAAAGAGGGTTTTTTCCCTTTCTTCTCATCATGTGTATCCCTCTTTTTTTGTACCTCTTTCCCACCCTTCTCTCTTTTTTGCTCCCACCCAAGGGAGGTGACTTGGGATGGTGGGTTTAGGGGTTTGTGTATTGACATTTCCCACAGCAAGGCAGTTCCACTTCCCCGGAGAAACCAAACTCTGCCAGCCCACTAGTCTGAGCATGGGTTATGTGAGAGAAAAGGTGGAAAGGATGGGGCCCTGCCAGGCAGTGAGCCTCCCAGGAATGCCATGGGAGAGGGCCTGGATATTAGATGACTTTGAACATATAACTTTGCCCCCCACCCAAGAGTCTGGTTTTTGTCTGTATCTAGGTAGCAAGAACAAGCCATTGAAATACCAGCTCTCCTCCTCTCATTTCAGCTCCTACACATCACTCTGACTCCTGCTTTAAATACAATTGTCATTCAGGAGTCACCTCTCTGGTATGAATTCAGGGGTGGGGTACTAAGCAGACCTCTGGCACCAAAATATCCATCATCTGTGACTTTTATCTAAGAGGCTTTTGTAGATGACAGATTCCCCTCAGAGAGATTTATACTTCAAGCTGTTACCTACCAACTGCAGCCAGATTAGCCAGCCTCCAGCAGAGAGCAAGCCTGTGAGAGCGAGCCAGGGCCACATTCAGACAGCACAGGCAGGCCAGGGCATCCAAAAACACACTTCCACACGCACTGTGCTGTGCGCTGGAGGGCTGCTTGGAGAATGTGGCTGGGAAGCCACCAGGCAGCCGCTGCTGGCTCCCCAACTCCGTCTCCCTAACAGACCACTCACTCTCCTCCCGCTCTGCTCTCTTCCTCCCCACAGGCCATCTGGTGACAAGAAGCCTTCCGAGCCCAAAGCCATGCCAGACCTCAATGGGTACCAGATCCGGGTCTGAGGCAGATGCCGGCATCCCAGGCCCCACCCACTCCTAGGGGTCAGGATCCACCTGCTGGAACCAGCCTCATGCATGGGGGAAGGCAGGGCTGTGACAAGGCAGGGCAAGAGGCTGCAGCAAGAGTGTGTTCCAGCTCAGCCCCCCAAGCTGCTCCCGCTCCCACTGAGCCAAGCTCCCTAACTTTGGGCCTAAAGGCCGTTAGTATTTTATTTGGAGTTTTTAACTCTACAACTAAAGTTTAAGGTATTTGGGGAAAGCAGTCCAGATGGATCTGCTGATGGTGGGAAGGCCAGTGCTTAGGAGATCCATGTGCCATGGAGCCAGGTGAGGGAGATTGCCGGTTCTGCTGGTGCCTCTGCCCCTGGCTTCTCTCTGGGAGTTCAGTGCATCCTATCAGTGGGAAATTTCCCAGCCTTACCAGGCCTATGGTGGGGGGTGGGGTGGGGTGGAGATGTTTCTCCAGTTCTGCCTGCCCTGGCAGAATCTTGACCCAGGGAAAGGGAAGTAGGGTAGGAGTCCTCCTGAGAAAGGTTTGTTCCATTAACCAGGAGCTTGGCACAGGCCACATCTGCCCCAAGAGCATGAGCTCGTGGCCTAGGAGAGCCTTCAGGCCCTGGAGGTCCCCATGGGCAGTGCTGTGTGGGCAGAGGAGGGGTGATAGGAGAGCCCAGGGAAGGACCTCTGAGCAGAAAGTTCCCAGGGCCTAACCGAGTCTACTTGCTCAGTCCCAGCTCTGCCTGTTACTGTAGCCCACGGGCTCCCTGCAGAGGGTCTGGGCTTGGTGGAGGACCCAGAATGGCACTGAGGCCAGCATGGCTATGGGAGTTGAGCAGACCCTGGGCACCAGTCCAGGAGCTGTGGCTGGGCATGGGTTGATGGGGTGGGATGCTTGGGCCTGGGTCTTTTCCCCTGGCAGTGCCAGGAGCCCCTGCTGGGGAAATCAAGACCAGACTAGGATGCTTGTGTCCCAGGCCTGCCTTGCATCCTTTAACAGCCCATCTTGGCTTGGGGTTGCAATGATGGCTAGGCCAGTCACTTGTGGCAGGGCATCAGGGCCCTGGAAGGGAAGAACCTAGGCACCTGGGGTTGTCCCCAGCCTGCCCGTCAGCATGAGATACCTGGTGGGAAAGTGAGAGGATGCAGAGAGGTTGGCAGAGCCGGGGGTAGGTTCTGGTGGCTTAAGCAACAAGGAGGTGCAGGGAAAGGGTGCAGTGCAGCCACTGAGGAGGGACAGCTGGGAACTGGGGGATGCAAGTGAGAAAGGGATGTGGGGGAGAGTTTAGGATCAGGCTGCTTGAGGAGTAATGGGTTGCCTACAGCAAGGACTAGATAGTTGTTTGTCAGGAGGCGTAGAAAGGTAGAAAGGATTCGGGTTATGGAAGGGTAAATGGATGAGATGACCATTAAGGTTTTGTTGTTTTACTGAGAGGCTGTAAGTCTGCTAGGGGCAGCTGCCAGTAAGGCTGCAGAAGGGCTGGGGGGCTACATAAGGAAGATCAGAACTAGGATTGTAAACTCCAACGACAACAGGGCCAGCAAATGGTGAGAAGGAGAGCTGCAGGGCTGCGTGGGGACTATGGCTACCTGAAGAGGGCACACCCCGTTAAAGGGGACAGAGCTGCTCAGCTGTTCTTACAGTGCCAGCCCCGTGTTGCCAGATTGTCTGCTTTGTCAGAGGCCAGAATTCTGACTTTTTATGTGAAATAGAATTTTTAAATGCTGGTGATCACTTCCAAAAAAACTTAAAAACCCAATTTTGCAATCCCTGAAGTAGAGAGAGCTCGTGCTGGGGAGAAGTCCACCAAGATGCTTTGAGGTGGGGTGTAGGACCTGTTCCCCAGAGCTGGGCTGGGCCGGGGGAGGATCCTTGCAGCTGAGGAGAAGGAAAAGCCACTGAGTCCCCTCCCAGAGCGGGACAAACCAGAGGCCCTTTGGAGTTGCTGGGTCAGCAGCGGGGGTGGTGTGGAGTACAGACAGTGTAGCTCTCGGCCTGCCAGGGAGACGGCTGGTGCCTTCGAAGCAAAGAAAGAGGAAGGGAAGGCAGAGCCAGGGATGCCTTTGCTGATGAGAGTGCCTGTCAGGGAAGGCGCCACAGGCTGGCAGCTCTTCAAACCAGCAGTGCTTGACCCAGAGCCAGATCCAGCATGGCCCGGCCAGAGGCACCCTGGGAGGCCAGCTGGTCAGTCCTTTGCCTCCCCAAGTTCCTCCTGGGGTCAGTGAGCCCTGGGAGGTGCCTAACTCCAGCCAGACTAATAATAGGCACATGGTGACCCCTGACTCACCATCCCATCCCAGCTTTCAGGGAGTGGGGGTGGTGTGGTCTCCATGTTCCCACTATGCCTAAGAAGAGATGGCTCACCTTGGGAGGTGCCAGGCTGAAACGAGGTCCTTTCCGGGTCTGGATGCTGCCGTTCATGAGCAGGGGCGTGGCCTCAGCCACCTCTGGGAGCTTCCCGGGAACGACAGGGTTTGAGGGGAGTAGATATGAGAGGGAGCCACTCGTGGTTCTGGAGTCTTCAGAGGTTCCAACTTACAGGATCCTTTCCCAGAGCCCTCCATGGAGAAAACAGCAAAATGAAGCTCTTACCTGCTTGCTGTCTGCAGGGGAGGGAGCCGAGCCCCAGCTGATAATCCCCCGGCACTCACCCTTCCTGAGCTGAGACTTGGGGCTGTGGAGACCAGCACAGGACATAGTGGTGCTTTTTAAATTTATTTTTAACTGTTTCTCATATGTAGCAACCCCTCCTCCCCTCCTGGGCGTGTTTACACAGGCTCTGCTCCGGGGGCTGGCCTGGCTGTGAGGTTTCTGGGGAGGCAGAGAGGCAGGGACTTTGGGGCCTTAGTCACCATCCATGGTATCACCTCATCTCACTTCCTGTGAGGGACGGGGCCTGGCTGATGGGACCCCAGCTCCCACCAGTTCAGGACTGCCTTCCAGCTCCTTTGCCCCTGGAGGTGGGGGCTGCTGGCTGAGGAGGGGTCAAGGTGAGTTCTAAGAAAGCAACCTGGGGAAAATAGACCAGGATTGGGGGGGTGATTGCAAAGTCTCCCCAAAGCCTGGCTCCTTGTGCTGAGTGCCAGGGGCAGAACACTGGGGAGCCAGGTATAGAGAGCCTTCCTGTCGTAACTGCCAGTCCTCTCCCTCCAAGGCCTCCGCACATTCTCATGCTCCCCTCACCCATCATGCCAGCCACCCCTATCCCTCTTCTGGCAGGGCCAAGTTGGGGACAGCAGCAGCCCTCTGGCCTTGGGATGTGATGACAAAGCAAGCCTAGGGCCAGGGTTTGGGGAGCAGAGAGAGCTGAGAAGTTGACCACGTGTGATTTCCAGCCCTTCCCGCTGGGACTTGACTTCCCAGGTCAAGGAGTCGGTCTCATTCTGGCTGGTGGAGTGCCCAGAGGCCTGTGTGAATGTGTGCACCTGCTTTTCCTGCCTGGAATGTTTTCTGGCTCAGCTGCAGCAACATCTGCAGGCCCAGTGTCTGCCCTGTGTCCCTGGGCTCACTCCAAGTGCAGGGACATGAGTGCCGGGCCCAACGTGATGATGGTGCGAAGGGCAGGAAACAGTCCTCTGAAGGAGTGGGAGGTGGACAGTCTGCCCCCACCAGGTACCATCGCCTCCTGCCAGCTTCCCCAGACCAGGCAGGCTGCCATGGTGCTAGCTGCAAGTCCATCAGTATTGACCGTCTCGCTCCATCTTGGTGCTCCAGAGTCCCAAGTTTCCCTTTTTCATCACATCTGACAAGAGAGAAGAAACGTGGGTGTGCTTGGCCCACAAGGCCTGGTGGTGATGGACCTCCCCGCTCCCTCAAGCTCTGGATGGCTGCAGTGTCGTACTAGACTTTGTTCAGGCTGTTCTCATCTTAGTATTGCCCCTTCCTTTCACTTTCACACTTCTCTCATTCCTGTTGTCACTTTCCCCTGAAATGAATAAAGTCTCCCCAGCTCCTGCTGTGTGGGCTGGGCAGAAACCACAACCAGTAGGCCTTGTCTCCTTTCCTTTGGGGCTGGGGCCGGAGCCCTCCCCCAGCCCAGCGGCATTAGCCCCATTGGCTCTGGGAAGAGCCTGACCTGAGGTGAGACTGAAGCCAGGCAATAGGAAACCTCCCAGCCCCTGCAGTTGTGATTAAACTTCTGGGTCCCAGACTTTTTCAGCCTGCTGAAACCACTCGGGCCTTGTTAACCCTGATCTGTGAGCAGCGCTTTCTCCTTCTCTTCACACAGTGGGCCTGGCCTCCAGAGGCTCAAGTCAGCTCCCGGGATGTATTCCGGGACCCTGCTCTTCTGGTCTCAGTCCACAGCAGTCCATCAGGAGCAAAGGAGAAATGGGGCGTGTTCTCCTGGGAGATGAGTGTAGCTCAGGAAACCATAGCAACCTTCTCATCACTATTGACATCCAGACCCATGGTGTGGAAAACACTTACGGGTCCCATCCACCAACCCCTATTCTTCCTCTCTGTTGTCCCTCCAGCTCTGGACCTCTTCCCACACTTTCAGACAAGCCCTAACAGTTGAAACCAGACGCGCACAGAAAATATCTTTTAGATTTCACAGCATATTTCACCCATAACCCTTCCTGCCCTTGTCTCTGCTCTCCTTTCATTCAGCTTAAGGGTAAAATCCAGACCTGTGAGAGAGGAAAGTGTATTTCTTACTTTTCATCCCAGCCAGTCCCCACAAAATCGTGGCTAGAAGTGTAGCTTCGCACCACAAGACCTCCTTATTTTCAGTGATGTGGTCGTGACCAGGGGGAGACGGAGGCATGGCAGTAGAAAAAGGAGAGGTGACCTGCTGGAATCCATAGACATCTGGGACTGTACACCAGTAAATACAGGCAGTTGTGTTACAGGCTCCTTTAAATCCAGCTAAAACATTACCCAAAAAAAGCACTTCAAAGTAACCAGAATTTGTGAATACCTTGCATTGCACACCCTTTCACAGAGGCAGTGTTGTAATTTTCATATTTAAGTCCAGCTAATATGATACCAAGTAAAGGGCCTCAGAGGCTTCAACAAGACAGGTTCATACACAGTAGGGCCCCTGGCCTGCTCTTACACAAATGAGGGGCTGGGTAAGTAAGTGCTGGGGTGAGAATCTACGTAATGAGTCAGGTAGGCTCTTTGTGGACGCTGGTCATTTTCTTAGAAAGCAGAAGGAAATGTCATTGCAGACTCCTGGAGGATCAGAACCCAACCTGCTTGGGGGTGGAAGGGGTTACCTCATTTCCTGCTGTCCTATTCCTCAGGCTCACAGCACACACCTGCCTAATTTAGGCACATGACTAACTGGGTTAGACCTTTGGGTTCAGGTGGCCCTTCTCAGAGGCCTGACAATGAAGGGGTTGAAGCTCTACTGCCCCATTTGCCAGGAGCTAGCATTTAGACCACTACCGTGGAGGTAGTGACAGGAAGTGGTCATACCAAGAACCAAGCAGAATGGCCCAGAAGCAGGCTGCCTGTAACCCTTAGTGTCTGCCAGCGGGGTGAGGGGACCAGCTGTGGAGGCCTGGCAGAAGATGAGGAGAGGCCACGTCAGGTCAGCTGGCGGGTCACCTGAGCCCAGCCCAAATGACAATGTGCACACAGATACACAAACTGTTTCCAACCCTGAGCCTGAAAGGACTTGGTTGTTGGAAGCACAAAACCTCCAAGAATTTTAAGTGTAGGCTCTGCTGTCCTCTCCACAGCAAGCTGAGGCTTCAGGCCTTAAAGTCATAGGAACTGACTAGGGATGGGACAAAGTGCAGAGTTGCCTCCACAACCCATGAAGTCCACATTCTCTTGCTTCCAGCAGATCTGCACCCTCACCACCATGCCGCTGTCTGGCTGGCCCATACCTGGAACAGTCTTGTCTAGCACATCTGCTCAGGAGAGAGAGGAGAGGGGATGGACCGTGGACCGGAGTGATGGAAGCCCAGGGCTGCAGGGCAGCTCCCCCTGGTGGAACCCAGAGGTGGCTCCTCCCACTTCTGGGAGAAGAGAAGCCACACTGTGCATTATGCAGCCAATCAAAACACAGCCCTCCAACAGAGAGCAGAATGGGGTTACCAGAGGCTGGGAAAGGCAGGGGAGGAGAATGAAGAGCAGGTGGGTGGTACAAAAATATGGTGAGAAGGACTAAGTTCTAGTATTTGATAGTATAGTAGGGAGACTACAGTTAATTTATTGTATATTTCAAAATAGCTAGAAGAATTGGAATGTTCCCAGCAGAAGGAAAAGATACATGCTTGAGGTGATAAACGTCCTTAAATATCCTGACTGGTCATTACAGTTTGTATGCATATATCAAAGTATCACATGCAGCCCCAGAATATGTACAACTCTCACACGTCAATTTTAAAAAGGAAAAACAAAACAACCAGAACATTCCTCTAGTTAGTAGCTACAGCAGGGCAGGAACTGGAGAGAAAAACAAAACAAAAAAAGCAGCAGCCTCCTCACTGGCCATTTCCCGTCTTGGTCTCCAGTAGAAAACTGCCTCTGAGCTCCCCAAGCCCAGGCCCCCACCACCAGCGTCTGCCTTCCAAGAAAACCTGCCTCGCCTGATCCTGGAAAGGCTTGTGAGAAATTTGGGGTGGTAAGAAATAAACCAAAGGAGAGTCTCCAATTCTATCTCTGGGATTTCTGTTTCCTCAGATGTAAAGGTCGAATCTGAACACCACCTAAACCGCCACCACACAGTGCTACTGTCTTTGCTAGCTGAGGTGGAAGTACTGTGTAAACTTAACAGAAGTGCCGTGCAGATGCTGACTGACTGAGACAACTAGGAGGAACCCTCCCTGCCAGGAAGGGATTTTTGGGGATACACCTCAAAGCTTAGGGCTTTCAAATACTTCCCAGTCAATGGGCCCAACTGTCCAGCCTGGCTGGGGTAACTATCTGCTCCCAACTCCTACCAGTAATTCTCTGGAATTCTTAGCACCCTTTTCTTGCCGAAGCCCAAACAAAGCAATTTCAGATCTGAAAACTCTTCACAAGTAGAAGTGATTATTAACTTTAATTTCTATTTCACCAAGGAATGTGAACTGAAATACAGAGCGGTTAAGTAACTTACCTATAGTCACCAACCGAACAGGCCAAGAGGACAAATGATGTTCCTAATCCCTAGCTGAGTTTTCTTTTTTCTCCTTTTTTTTTTTTTGAGATGGAGTTTCGCTCTTGTTGCCCAAGCTGGAGTGCAATGGCGCGATCTCGGCTCACCGCAACTTCCACCTCCCAGGTTTAAGTGATTTTCCTGCCTCAGCTTCCAAGTCGCTGGGATTACAGGCATGCACCATTATGCCCAGCTAATTTTGTGTTTTTAGTAGAGACGGGGTTTCTTCATGTCGGTCAGGCTGGTCTGGAACTCCTGAGCTCAGGTGATCCGCCCACCTCAGCCTCCCAAAGTGCTGGGATTACAGGTGTGAGCCACCGCGCCCAGCTGCTGAATTTTCTTTTTACTAAATCAGTGAGTGGATTGCAACCCAGGTAGTGCAATGGAAGCAACCAAGTGGCTTTAAATCAATCAGATTCTCAGAGACTGATTCAGAGGACTGGTGTGGGTTCTGGGAACCTGTTCAGGTAAGACAGAAAACCAGACCTGGTTTCAGGGCTCCCAGTGGACATGTGGGCTTGGCTGGTCTTACTGCATAGGGAGGCTGGAGGACAAAAGCACCAGTAGAGTTAGGCCTAGGAAGGAAGAGACATTTTTCCAGCGACAGATGGCCCACTGCTCAGCCCTGGCTCCAGAATGCAAAAGAGATCAGAAATAGATGCTCAGCAAGAGGCATGTGCCACCCGCATCATGTCTCATGCAGCTGCCATAGCTTTAACCAAGAAAACACACATCTTATCCCACTTTGCACAGACCCTCCTGAAGCGCAGTAGACACTAGAGGGAGGCATTGGGGGGAGCAGATGGAGGAAGAATGAAAAGCAGTCCAAAGAGTCATTCTCTCACTTGGCAAGGACAGAAGAAAGTTATACCCCCCCAACAGTGTCAAGGCAGGCGGTTTCACTCAAGCCCTGTTCCTCCCAGGCCTCAGAGCAGTGGGAATTTACCTCAGCTAATAGAGGGAAACCTTACAACACATTTCTCAATCTAGATTTATGTCTTGAGACCCCACCCCAAAATCAAAAGCTCCTCAGTCTCTTCCTCTGCCCACCTCATTCTTCAGGCCCTCTCTCAAGGACCTAATCCCTTCAGGATCCTAAAAAAATGACCAACAATGGGGGGAAAAAAAGGTAAACCTTTATTTGGAAAAAGAGTTTAATAACCATTTAAAACCCCATTTCATATTCAAAACAGAAACAAGTAAGAAAGCAAGGAAAAGATAAACTATCAAGCACCTGCCCTCTGCCCTCGCTAGCCATTTTAAAGCTGCATTTCCCAGCAGAAGAGAACAGTAACGGGCCCTAGTCCTAGGAACCCATAGGGCACTGGCTTGAGACCCTTTTAGGCAGTGTCCAGGGGACGGACAGACAGAATGAATGGTGGGGTGTAGACAGACCTGGGGCTCAGACAGGCACATGCCCAGTACCCAGGAAACAAAGTTTAAAAATATACACACATAGAAAAATAAATTCCCTAGAACATAGGCATGGAAAGCTTCTAACCATGAATGCAGCAGCACAATTCAAACTGGGTCTTTGGCTTTCAAAAAAAGGAAAGAACCTTAACCCCTGGCTCACTGTCCCAAACTCAAGTCTCTTGGCCACTGTCTTCAGTCCCACTCTGAAGGTCGAGTGAGGCAAAAGCACTCAAATCTACCAGGGCCAGCAGCCACTCTGACTTAGGGAGATGTGTGGAGGGGCTGGCCCAGGATCTCCCAAGGCCACACCCCAGCAATGAAAGATTAAGGCATGCAGGTGACACAGTGTGGACTAAGGAGTCCCCTGAATAAGCCAGGGCACCTCTGTGTGAGGGGAGGGAAAGCAGAGGCAACAAGCAGCTAAAGCCTTGCTGGACAGAGCCAATCTGCAAACACTGCCACTTCAAATTCTTGGACCAGTTTTGTCCAAGGCCACCTTTCTCCTGAGGCAGTTTGGACTGAGTTGAATACCAGGGTTTTCTAGAAAGGAAATGGAAGGGAAGCGGGAGACGGGAGGTAGCAGAAAGTAAAAAGTGGTGGGAGGAGAGGAACAGAAAATTGCTTCTTAGAAGTGGAGAGGAAAAGAGAATCAGTTTAGGTCTTGAGTCCCACCTGAGGCAGCTGCAGAGTCTACCTGCTCCTTCCCCTACTGGAACTCCTACCCTTGCCCCAGTTCTGCAGACTGCAGAGTCCAGTGAAACAAGAGTTTCCTGAAGACTCTTTCTCCTCTTCATCCTTAAATAGTTTTAAACCTCATACCACTACCCTAGCCCAATGAACTCCACATAAGGGTTCAAACTTCCACCTCCCTCAGGGAAGCCTGGGGAAAGGGATGGGCCCTTGAGAAATTACACCAGGTCTGTAGGGAGCTCTGGGTTGGAGGCACAGGGCCCGCTGGGACAAGTAGCGCATCCCCCAAAATTTGCCACTCCAGGATGTGGGCCCCATTTGTTCCCAGAGCCCAGATGCCGGGCCTGCCCTGGTTGGCAGGATGAATGCCTAATGAAACACAGAGGCTAAAAGGAGAGATGGGGCCATGCCCTGCTGCTGCCTAGTCATACACAGGTACTTGGGAAGACTCTGAACCTGCTCCTAGGCCTACAGCCCCAATGTGAAAAGTGGACTGGTCAGAGGCAGGCATGGCTGTGCAGAACAGTCTCACCCCAAGAGGACACATACATGATATACATATCTCACATGTGCATGCCTGGCAAGAGGGCTGGGCCCAGAGGTCCTGAAGGCAGGGAAAAGGTCAGGTCAGAAGGTACACCAAGAAACAGCCTGAAAGCAAATAACCAATGAAATCAATAACTCCCACAACCCTGGTAATTAAAAATCAAGGGGGAGCTCTGGATACATGGAAGGAAGGGGGAGCCTCCCTTCTGCCTCTCCCAAGGCCACTGAGTGTGTGGCACAGGATTAGGAAGAGGTTGGGGTGAGGCAAGGACCACAGGCAGAGAACACGGCCAGGCCTGGAGAAAATCTAACCATGGGAAAAAGGGAACAAGGAGGGGGAAGGGAGGGGATGTAAGTTTCTTGGATCTAAGTTTCCAGAAGCATGGGATTTCTCCACAGTCTCTGATCCAGTGAGCTCTTCTGAAAGAGAAGCTCTCTTCCCCTGGGAGCCCCGTCATGGAGCGGTGACTTCCATCCCGAAGCTGGCTAGCAGGCAGAGGTGGTCTGAAGAGCAGAAGGGGTTGGGTAAGCCATTGGCAGCCCAGAGAATCTCTTCAGAGAGAAGGGAGAGACGACCCAGGAGCTTGAGAGTTCCATCTCGATACAGCCTGTGATCTGGAGCACAAAGCAAAAGCCAATGGGTAAAAGCAGCCACAGCCACGCTGCATGGGCAGGCAGTGGCAGAGCCCTCTGGGAACTATGCCTTCTGCAGGCTGCATCCCCTTGGCTGCCTACCGCCCCTCACCTCCTCTTGCAGCATCTGGCTGAGGAGGCCTCATTTTCTCAGAGATACTCCATAATATCATCAACGAATATAGACAGGTGAGTTCTGGGGGACTGGGGCAAGCTGGAGAGCCCACCATTACAAGATCTTTTGATTTTCCAAGAGAAGCTAGAGATCCAGGTTTTCTATATAAAATCTGATTTTTTTTTTTTTTTTTAGATGGAGTCTCACTCCGTTGCCCAGGCTGAAGTGCAGTGGCGGAATCTCAGCTCACTGCAACCTCCGACCCCCGGGTTCAAGCGATTCTCCTGCCTCAGCTTCCTGAGTAGCTGGGATTACAGGTGCCTGCCGCCATGCCTAGCTAATTTTTGTATTTTTAGTAGAGATGGGGTTTCACCATCTTGGCCAGGCTGGTCTTGAACTCCTGATCTCGTGATCTACCCACCTCAGCCTCCCAAAGTGCTGGGATTACAGGTGTGAGCCACTGCGCCCAGCCCATAAAATCTGAATTTTAAACATAAGCAATCAATTCAAATACTTTAAAAAAAATTTTTTTTTTCTTTTTTTGGTGACAGAGTCTTGCTCTGTCGCCCAGGCTGGAGTACAGTGGTACAATCTCCCATGTTCAAGTGATTCTCCTGCCTCAACCTCCTGAGTAGCTGGAATTATAGGCACCTGCCACCATGCCTGGCTAATTTTTTTTTTTTGAGACAGAGTTTTATGCTTGTTGCCCAGGCTGGAGCGCAGTGGTGCGATCTTGGCTGACTGTAACCTCCGCCTCCCGATTTCAAGCGATTCTCCTGCCTCGCCTCCCAAGTAGCTGGGATTACAGGCACCACCACCACATCTGGCTAATTTTTTGTATTTTTAGTAGAGACAGGGTTTCATCATGTGGCTAGGCTGGTCTCACTCCTAACCTCAAGTGATCCACCCACCTTGGCCTCCCAAAGTGCTGGGATTACTGGTGTGAACCAGTAATACACGTGCCTGGCCATAACAGTAATACACATGCCTGGCGAAAAAGAAACATTCTTTACACAATATAGGCATGGGGCTGGGAGACTGCTATACTGTGCCTACTGGTATGGGGAGAGGAGACAGAAAATAAGGTCTCTAACCTAACCAAGTCCCCCACTCAGTGGCTGTCATTAAACAAATTCAACCACTTCCTAGATCTCTATTTTTACCTCTAAAATGGGGATTGGAGTGATTGTCCTACTCTCCTCTCTTTAATGCTGCAAGAGTAAAAAGAGACAAGGCAGGCAAGTGGCCTATGGGGAGAATGATAAGGATGACCTGCGCAAAGGAGGTATGAAATCTGCTCCTTTACTGGTTAAATCCCAGCAGCCCAAGACATGCTACCAAATGCCCGACCTACCATTAGCTGTTCCCAGGGACCTAGGGGTGGAGGAACCCAGGATACATCAGGCTTACCAGTTCTGTTCCCATTTTCGCAGGACTCGGCTGAGAAGAAGATGTAATCTACTGTCATTCCAAGACCCAATGGCATTGTAGTGACCTCTGGGCGGCCACGCTGGGGCAGGAAGTGGGTATATACTGAGGTCAGGTGGAGGCAGTGCTGGATGGTACCTACAGTCCTACAGGGATGAAGGGGGAAATATTAGTCAACAAAAATTACTAAATTTTCCCTAGGTCACTTTTTCTGTGGGTTTTATGAAGATTTTTTTTAAAAGGATGATCTCAAATGACTCAATCTCAGCCAATTCCTTCCCATGCTAACAAGGGGCTGGCAGTCTTAGCTAAAATTAGCCTAGAAACACACATTTGTACTGAAACTCCTTGACACTCCTTATCCCCCACTATCTGCTTGTTACCTGGTAAAGTATACCCAATGTACCCCTGTCTGGGGCCCAGGCCTCTTTTGTGAGGCTTTACCCTCTGAGGAAAGAGTACATAGCCTTTTCACCTGCAGGAACATGGGTGGGTCACCTCTGGCTTCTGCATACCTACATAACCCTCTATAAGCTTAGCAGATATTAGGGGAAAAAGAGCTTATCAAAAAGTGCTCCCCCAAGTCAGCCTCAGGACAACCAGTGGGAATCTCTCTCTTACACCTAGGCTAGGGCTGGATTGAAAACAGAAGAGAACTGGAGAAGGTTACCTGGAGGAGGCAGGCTCAAGCTCCGATGTGTCTTCCTCAAAGACAGACTCAGCCCAACCTGCAGGTCGCTCTGCAGAGGACCAGAGAGAAAAAGGTTTTCTTATCCACAGACAATGAAACAGGGTCAGAACCTTTCACCCTAAAATCCCTCTGATACTTGACTGGACTGCTTCAGAAGGATCCAGGAGGAGAAAGGGAAGAGAAACAGTGAGGAGGAGAAGATGACTATAAACCAAAGTCAAAAACCTCAGAAAGCAGATGTAGGGCGTCTAACACAGCATTATCTTCTGTGGCTCCTCACCTTTGTTTTTCTTTGATTTAAAAAAAAAAATAAGCCATATAGTCACATGGTACAAAATCAAAATGTAGCAAAAAATATCAGTGAAGTTTCCCTCTCATTTGCCCTCCTCTGCCACTCAATTCTCTTTTCCAGAAGCCACCAATGTTACCAAATTCCTGGTATATTCCTTCAAAGACTTTCTATTACATACCATCCATTGTGTGTGTCTATGTATGTATGCATACATGTATATATACATACACATTACATATATGTATACATCTATCAGCACACACATACATATTATACATACGAATGTTAAAAAAGGAAGCTACAAATTACCAATATCAGGAAAGAAAGAAGGGACATTAGTACAGATCCTACTAACATTAGCAGGATAACAAGGATCAGCAACAACACTGACAAGCCCTCAGCTAGACCAAGAAAACAGAATACTCAAATTACTAAAATCAGAAATGAAAGAGGGGCCATCACCAGCCATTTAGAAATAAAAAATAACTATAAGTGAATGCTATAAATAACTAGATACCAACAAATTGGATAACTCATATAAAATTGAAAAATTCCTAGAAAGACACAAACTATGCAAAATAACTCAAGAAAAAACAGAAAATCTGAATACGCCTATAACAAATAAAGAGACTGAATCTGTAATTTTAAAACATCCCACAAAGAAAACACCAGGCTCAATGGCTTCACTGTAGAATTCCAGCACACATTTCAAGAGGAATTCATACAAATCCTTCACAAACACTTCCAAAAAAAAAAGAGGAGACACTTAACTCATGAGGCATTACTCTGACACCAAAACTAGATAAAATGTCACAACAAAAACTATAGACCAATATCCCTTATGAATACAGATGTAAAATTCCTCAATAAAATATCAGCAAACCAAATCCAGCAAAATATAAAATGATTATAGACTATGACCAAATAAGATTTATCCTAGGAATGTCAGCATGGTTTAACATCTGAAAATCATAGAATGTGATACGTCACAATAGAACACTTAAAGTTTGAAAAAAAAAAAAAAGCCACATGATTATCTGGACAGAGGAAAAACATTTGACAAAATCCAACACCCTTTCATGAGTTAAAAACACTCAAAACACTAGGAATAGAAGAAAACTTTCTCAATCTGATAAAGAGAATCTATAAAAAACTCACAGCTAATATCATACTTAATGATGAAAGACTGAAAGCTTTACCCTTAAGATCAGAAACAAAAGGGTGTCTGTTCTCACCAGTTCTATTTGACACTGTACCAAAAGTTTTAGTCAGAGTATTTATGACAGAAAAAGAAATAAAAGGTATCCAGATTGGAGTAGAAGGAATACTATTTCTATTTGCAAGATGACATGATCTTATATAGAGAAAATCCTAAGAAATCCACTAAAAAACTATTAGAACTAATAAATGAGTTCAGCAAGATTGCAGGTACAAGATCAATACACAAAATACTTCTATACAGTAGCAATCAACAATCCAAATATGAAATAAAGAAAACAATTCCATCTACAATAGCATCAAAAAATGAAATAATTAGGAAAAATTTAATAAAAATAGTGTAGGCACACTAAAAATTACAAAACTTGGAAAGAAATTAAAGATCTAAATAAGGAAAACCAGCCCATGTTCATTGGCCATTAGACAATATTGTTAAAATGGCAATAGTTCCCTAGGCAACAGACTGAGTCCCTGTCACAGAAAGGAAAGAAAGGAAAGGGGAGAGAAGAAAAAGGAGAGGAGGGGAGAGGGGAAAAAAGGAAAGAGGAGAGGGGAGGAGAAGGAAGAGGGGAGGGGAAGGAAGAAGAGGGAGGAAAGGGGAGAGGAGGAGAAAAAGGAGGAATAAAAAGGAAAGGAAAGGAAAGATTTGTAGATGCCTATCAAAATCCCAACTGGTTGGTTTTTGGGTTTTTTTTTTTTTTGGCAGAAATGGATATGATGATCCTAAATTTCATGTGGAAATGCAAGAGACCCAGAAGAGACAAAAATCATCTTAAAAACAACAAAGTCAGAGAACTTACTCATCCTTATTTCAAAAGTACAGTAATCCACCTTATCCATGGGGGATACATACCCAGACCCCCAGCAGATGCCTGAAACAATGGACAGTACCAAACCCTAAATATACTGTTTTTTCCTAAACATACCTATAATAAAGCTGACTTTATAAATTATGTACAGTAAAATAATAACAATAACTAATAATAAAATAGAACAATTATAACAATATATTGTAATAAGGTATGTGAATGTGGTCTCTCTCTCCCTCAGAGTATCTTAATGTTTTTGAACCTCAGTTGACCATGAGTAACTGAAACTAAGGAAGGCAAAATCACTGAGAAGGTGGACTACTATATACAAAACTATTGTAACCAAGACAGTGTGGTTCTGGCATAAGGACAGACACAGACAGGAAGGGAACAGAACTGAGAGTCCAGAAATACATACATCTATGGTCAATTGATTTTTGACAAGGGGAGAAGTGAATGGAAAGTGACTCATGGGTGTAAGGTTTCCTTTGTGGGTGATGAAAATGTTCTAAAATTAGATCATGGTGATGGTCGCACAACCCTGAATATACTAAAAGCCAATTAATTACACACTTAAAATGGGAGGATTTTATGACATGTGAATTTCATCTCAATAAAACTGTTCAAAAAAAGGATATGGGAATGTTATGAACAACTTCATGCCAATATATTTGATAGTTTAGATGAAATGAAATACCCACTTAGGCCAGGCGCGGTGGCTCACGCCTGTAATCCCAGAACTTTGGGAGGCTGGGGCAGGCAGATCACGAGGTCAGGAGATTGAGACCATCCTGGCTAAAATGGTGAAACCTCGTCTCTACTAAAAATACAAACAATTAGCCGGGCGTGGTGGTGGGTGCCTGTAACCCCAGCTACTCGGGAGTTGAGGCAGAAGAATCACTTGAACATCGGAGGCAGAGATTGCAGTGAGCCGAGATCGTGCCACTGCACTCCAGCGTGAGCAACAGAGCGAGACTCCATCTCAAAAAAAAAAAAAAAAAGAAAAAAGAAATTCCCCTTTATATGCCTTATATTCTTCCTGTTAGATTTCTATATTTTTTTGTTGTTGTTCTTACACAGTGTATTTTTTTCATTATATCTTTTAATAAACATGTATCTTTATAAAGGAACACTACTAAGTTCTGCACATTAATTTTGTACCCAGTTTACCTTCCAGAATTATCTCAATGCTTAATGCTGTTTTAGTTTATTCTCTTGGATTACCAGTTTTAAAACAATATCATCAGCAAGTAATAATTTACCCCCTCCTTTCCACTTTTATGCTTCTATTTTGCTATATTTCTATTTTCTACTTCTAATTCTGTTGGCTGGTATCTCCAAACACAGTTAAATCATGATAGTCTTGTCCTTGTCTTGTTCCTAACTTTAACAAGAATGCTATTAGAGTTTTTTTCTTTAATCAAGATGCTGTTTGGAGTTGAAATAAATATATTTCAATGGTGTAAGAAATTATCCATTTTTTTCTTAAGAGGGTTCATTTTAAAAGAATCTAGAATAGATGTTGAAGGTTAACAGATGTCTCTTCAACATCTATACAGAGAATGGCACAGGTTTCATATATTTTAGATTTCACACATATATAAAATTATGTTAATAGATATCTCAATATTGAACTATCCCTATATTTCTAATAAACTCCAGTTGGTCATGGTATATTACTCTTTCAATGTGCTGCTAGATTTTGTTTCCTGATCTTCCATTTAAATTTTTTTGCATCAATATTCATAGGTGGAGAACATTAGAGTCTGTAGTTTTCTCTTTCTGCGTATTTGTCAGGTGTCGGTGTCAATATTATTTCATAAAAATAACCTGGCCCCTTTCTCTGTCTGTACTTTGTAACAATTTAAATAATGGAAATATATGTTTTGAAAGGTTTGAGGACATTCCCTATCAATCTGAGCCTGGTGTTTCTGAGGGACTGTATCTCTGAGAACTTTTCCTATTATTTTTCACCCCATGGTCATTAATCTATTTAGACAATCTCCATGGGAATCAGTTTTAGTAAATTACATTTATATGCCAACCAAATTTTCCATTTCTTTTGCACTTAGTTGAGCAAAAACAACAAAAACCCTTGTGATTCTTGATTCCTCTGCATCTGGGTGCTTGTTACTGCTCCTCTTTTCCCCCTTACATAGGTTAGCTAATGAGCTTTTTTAATTGACAGCTGTTTTTCATCCAAGCAACCAACTCTTTAGGGTTTATGAGTTCTTCCATTTTTCTGTTTTTAAAATTATTTCCATTTGAATCTTCTTTCCTTCTGCTTTCAGTTTCTTTCTTTTTTCTAATTTCTTGAACTGGGTGCCTTAATTCACTTTCATCCCTTCATATCTATTAATATCATTCTGATTCTAACTATTCTATGTAATTCTATGAATTTTTCCCTGAACACCATTTTAGCTATATCCAACAAATATAATGGTATTTTCATTATTGTTATTTTCCAGATATTCTGCAATTTCAGTTTAAATTTTCCTCTTTGATCAAAAAGTTTTTTAAATGTCCAGTTCACAGTATTTTTTTCTCTTTTTTTTTTTTTTTTTTGAGCTAGGGTCTCGCTCTGTCACTCAGGCAGAGGTGTGATCACAGCTCACTGCAGCCTTGACCTTCCAGGCTCAAGCCATCCTTTCACCTTAGCCTCTGGGTGGCTGGGAGTATAGGCACATGCCACCATGCCTGGCTAATTTTTCTATTTTTTGCAGAGACAGG